TAGGTCTACATGAATACACTGAACAGCTTTTAGGAGTAAACTGGAAACTAGTGCAGCTTCAAAAGATGTAATCTACTCTCAACAAGCAGCATCACTAAGCAAGCCAATAATCACATTCTTCTCTAGCCTTCAGATCCTTAGGGTATTGCACTGTACTCTTCGATTTCCAGGTGACAATGGCGTGAAACACAGTAACAAGGTCCACATCCAATGACAAGGTCACAGTCTACATGCCAAATGTAAATGAGGGGAAAATAGAAAACAAACAAACAAACAAAAGGCACTCATAATCAATACTACAATGAGAGCATCCAGAAGACCCACAGGTAGCAATCCAGGCTGATGAACAAGCAGACAGAAATCTCCTCCATTATTTATAACTGTTACCTTCCCCCAAACTGCAATTGCCGTTATGTTTTCTCATCTAAAGTGTGCCTGGGCTGCTTAGTGTGATAAAAATTAACACCATACCTTGCTTGTGCTTGACGTTACAAAGTATTTCAGTAACACTCTGTGGCAGCACCCCTAGAGTCTAGCTGAAGTCTGAACAGTAACCGGAGAACACGAAGCTCTTGCACAATGTAAGTCAGGGTGATTACAGAACAGGGAACCACCTCTCTATTGCAGGGTGTGTTTCCCACATTAAAATCCCTGCGGTTTTGGATTTCACGCAGTGAGTGTATTTTAAACCGCTGCATAGAAATAGAGAGTAATGTGATTCTTACCCGCTTCAGCTCCCATGATAGACTGCTGAAGGACGAGCTGCTTAGGGAGAGAAAGCCTGGCTCGGCTCTCTATCGGGGTGTCAGGGACAAAGGTGACGGGCCCATGATCTGGGCAGTCTGATGGATACGCCTTGTCACACAGTGTGCACCCTGCAGAGAGGGGAAGGGACAACAGGGATTAAAAAGATGCAACAGCCCCCACAGCGCCATCAGGTTCCTCACATTATACTTTGCTGTGCTCCTGCCAAAGGCTGCTTCTATCTGGTTTAACTTGTCAGCTTTACTAGTGTAAAACTAGTAAACCAGGACAAACTAGCTTTTACTCAGAAGAATACAAAGCATACTATTACAGCTGGGCACTGACATACGTATCACCCATGTTACCAATCCTGTCCAATTCAGATCAAATGTGAGGATCTCCACATACTTTCCTGATGGTAAATTAATCACCTCTACTCTTGACTATCCCTACTGGGAGCAATCTAGCAATGGGACAGAGTCCACACTTCATGGCAAAACGGATGGTAGTTTTGCTGGAGCTGGCAGTAAATTCTGATGATGGAAGAGCCACTTTCTCTCTGACCACAAGTAAAATTACCTTTATTGGCAAAAAAACCCAAGCTATACCAAAGCAAACACTTTCTAACTGGTTATGTTTTTGGAATTTACCAGGAACACAAGAGTTTTCTTGCATGTAGAACCTCAAGGATATTAATGCAAAGGGACAGTAAAGTCTTCTTGCTAAAATTTGTCTAATTTGAACCTACAAATCCCCTAATTCCCATTTAAAATCAGACAATATGTGAATCTTCATAGCAGCAAAAAAGTGACCTTAGTGCTGCTTTTGAAGGACTGACTGCGCTAAACTCACACAGTATACCTCTATGGGATGCCACAGAATGGAACAGAAACAAAAGCCCAAGAAGAATCACTTTTCCAATCAATCATTCAGCAATAAGTACTGCTGAAAAACCAGCCACTGAAAGTCTTCTAATAAATCTAATAAATTCAGGAAAAAGTACAGCATAAAATGCTCTCATCTAGAAAAACGATGTCATTTTAATTCTCTATGAATGGAGCAACCAACACCTATACAGCAACCACCCTCCTGATAAATCATTCTTCTTCTGAAGAAAGATGCTCAGCTAATTACGCAAGATCTCCACAAAGACCTTCTTCAGCCTCTTGATGACCCAAGTCCAGTATAAAAGACCTATCACTGAAGTAGTCTTCAGTGGGCAGAAACAGTAGCTCCATTATTAGTTGTTTAAAGAACTTTTAGGGACAATATCTTCATACATCAGGGTACCAGAATCTGTCCCCATACAATGTACAGTGTAAGCAACTGCACAATTACAGATAGGAAGGTACTTAGAAAATTATTAGGTAGAGTTTATACAAACATTGCTTCATGTGCACAGATGACATGTAGGAGTACAGCACCAACAACTGGACCTGACTAATGAGAAGCACTAATTGGACCCATTGTTTTTAAGCACTGCCTAGCACACACCACTGCAGGTCTAGTCCCAGGGAGAGGCAAAGAGGAAGAAAAGCAGTATCTAGGTGTGTGACACCTCCACTTAGAAGGGTTTTAAGGATTCCTACATTTTTAAGAAGTTGGAACAAAAAATCCTCCATTCTACAGAAGCGAGACACACTGTTTCCTTTCCACTTCTGTCCTTGCCAAATCATAAATAAATTTAAAAAACTCACAGTGATTACTTCTCTGATTTGGGTACATAGAACTCCAAGCAAAGATCAAAGAAAGGGCTACTTAAAAGTTTCACAAACATTTAGGACTGTAGCAAAGGCACACTGCTTCCTTCCTGCTTAGAACTACAGTATAAAATGTTTTCTGAAAAGGGCCCTGACTCCTGCCCCTCTCAGTAAGGAAAAACCACCAAGAGGCTCTAAAACAACTCCTGCTCCTCCTTGCTATCACTTGTCTGGACACAAATTCATGTTTTATTCAGGAGAAGTTTAAAAACAACAAAAAGTTAAAATTCAAACCTTCCTAAGTCAAAGACCTATTTTGCAAACCACATGAAAGCAGTAGGCATGCAACAGCCACTACAACATCCTACCAATGGGGACCATCATCTGGGAAACAGGACTGTTCTAAGTGTCGTGACAAGAGGCTGGCACATCAAACCTCACTTAGGTAAAAAGGGGAAGTGATTTCACCATGGGCATGTTGGATATCATAGTATTTTGACCATTATTTGTTCAACATGCAACAGATCCGTGTAAGAATTTCTGAGTGCATCAACTGTAAAACTCTTCCTCTAGGAATCCCCCAGAGTAAAAGTTTTAATTCAGATTCACTTTGCACTAAACTGCACCTCTCCCATTGCTAACCAAGGCACTATTTCTTTCCATTCCTTAAAAAATGTTCTGCAGGCAAAGCTTGTCACAAGGCTCAGCACTCAGCAATGCCAACACAACTAACAAAACTGAATATAAAAACTGGCCTTACGCGGTCTCTTCTCCCAAGTAACAAGCAATAAGACAAGAGGCAACTGCCTCAAGCTGCACCAGGGGAGGTTTAGACTGGATACTAGGAAACATTTCTTCACAGAGAGGGTGCTCAGGCATTGATACAGGCTGCCCAGGGCAGGGGTGGAATCATCATCCCTGGAAGTGTTCAAAAACTGTGCAGATGAGGCCCTCAGTGACATGGTTTAGTGGTGGCCTTGGCAGTGCTGGGGTAATGGTTGGACTTGATGATCTTAAAGGTCTCTTCCAACCTAGCTGATTCTATGATTCAGTGGCAGGAAGCCAGACATGCCGTAGGTGGAAGTGCCAATCTCTCTCCCACCAAATGCGAACATCGCAGTTCTCCAGCACCACTCTTTGAATGATGTCAGGACTGAGAGAGTGCAATGTCCACTGTTCCTCTCTTCCTAGGAGATCAACTAACCTCTGGACTGAAGTCCTTTGATAAGAATAATCGGAAATATTTAAACTTCCCTCCCTCTCTGCTCTTTTTTCCAGCAGGTCCTGTTAAGAACAACATTTTCATGATGGTTGTTCGTAGTTCAATAAAAGCTTTGAAAAATCACATGATGTCATACTCAACAGCTATACCTGCTTGATGAAATGTATGGCTTCTTGTGGCATTTTACTGTGTTTTTTCAATGGAGCAAGAGTCATTTGTGATGTGACTTTAAAAACCAAAACTCTTATTGCAAAGGGTAATATCAGCACACCACAAAAGGCTAGAGGTTCATAAAAAACCTCAGCTTTCAACCTCAAGGCAATATGGAAGATGGATACAGAAAGAATGACACTAAAACAGCCTATTATGTCCACTTCCAAATACTGTCATTTCAGCGTGGTTAATCTGCCACTGCAGATGTTCCAGCTTTCGTGGATTTGTTAAATAACTATGTTTCTTCAACCAGAAGAGTCCTGTCCTCCCACCACACAACAGCTACTTAAACCCTACCCCGAGAAAGCAGGAAATGCCCACTCACATATGGTAAACAAGGTTGCCATGTTCTCCTTGTTCGAATTGGAGTCTTCCATTTGCAGAGAGGACGGTACGAAGGCAAGATTGTCTGCAGACACATCCACGTGACTTGGGCCCATGGCCACTTCCTGATTCATGGAAGAGCCCGCCACTGGCTCGAGGCTGAGGCCCACTTCGTGCAAGGCTACCGAGTCCAGAGAAGCTAGGTTGTGTGAGGTAGAGAGCGCCACACTCACAGAGTTGGTGCTCATGGCCACAGTATGAATGGAGTCATTTAGTGTGCTGTCCGGTATTCCTGCCACCCGCCCGGCCATGTGGTCGGGCTCCATGACGACAGGGAGTTCCAAAGTGCTACCGTGAATGGGAATGACACTGCCGTGTCCCACAGGGTCCGATGCCAAGTTACTCCCCACCGTGTCTACAGTTAAAGGTTCGTGGCTCCGGGAGCCGTTTGGGATTTGCGAATGATCCCTGGCTACGTCATCCATCGTAAGCTCCTCTGCCATCCCATCGGTAGAGATGGGGCTGGTGACCCTCGATACACTCTCCATAGTGATCGTTGTATCCAGCGCTACCTCATGGCTGTCACTAGGGTGCAGATTTTGAGCACCGTGGGTGTTCACTGTGCGGGAGTCCATGGAGACAATCCCTGGTTCCAGCCCCACAGTTCCACTGGGCTGGTAGGGATCTAGGGCTGAGGGATTGCTGGGGACTGACAGTGCCGGATTGCTATCCACATTTATAGTGTTGGGATGGATGTACTGAGGCGGAGGTCTGTCAGCCAAGTAAGATAAGATACCTGATAGAATGAGAGGGGGAAAGAGAAGAGAGTGAGATGATACCAGTTTTTACATCTTGAACAAAAATATCCCACCATCACAGCATAGCATGTTCAGACCTAGATCCTTGAAGACATGTTCTTCACACTATGTCCAATTAAAAACCACTAATTCTAAAACATGGCTCACAAACATATGCCGACCCAACACTCTTGTCAAAGCATCATTTGACAACAAATACAGAGCTTCCACCCAACAAGGCGACTCTCTAGTTGTATGTCAAACCGTGAACAGCCAAGCAACAAGCTTCCAGCAGCATTTAACCTAGGCTCTTCAGTTCAAAGACTGAAACACATTCCTTAAGAAACAGCTCACAAAGGATGAAGGACTGATAGTGGAATCTAGTATTTGATAATCCCTGGTTCATCTTTGCTAGAAGTAGATACAGTTCTCCAGGATGCATCATTTTTGCTTAGGTATTTAACAATGACTACTTCCTTCCTCTAAGACTAAAGTGACACGACTGTCCATCTCAGAGATCATCAATTGCAATTCTGAAGGACCAAGATAAGGTCTCTCAAAGGTATTGTGAGTCATCTGCTCTCTTTCCTTACCTGAAAACTATGTTATTTCTCCTGAAACAATAGCCCAGTTAAATTTAAATCAGAAACCCTGACATCTTTTCTGGTAGTTCTGGAAAGCTTCTCTACATCAAACAACCTTGGAAGCTAAGATACAAAGAAACAAGAAGCTGTATTTACATGCTACCAACTTCTCATGTTGGATAAAGCTTAAAAAAAAATAATCTTTGGAAGAAATACATCAGCACATTCCAGTAAACAGCAGTGGCAGAGATGGATTTTGCAGATTCTGCAAGATCTGAGTCAGCACATTTCTTTTTGGCCTTGAACCCTACCAGCCATTTGTTCTGTATAAGTGTTCCATTCAGACACGTCCATTATTACAAGGATGCAAGCATGGATACTCTTTCTACAACATAACCCCATTAAAAATGGCTAAGCCAAGAAATGGACAGTTTAATTTAACCAGCTGCATCAAGTATTTCTGCATGCAATGCTGCCTTGTGGCTTGAACAAGGAGGATCCATGACAGCAGTAAGATGACTGACAGAAAAGCCCTATGAAACCTCGGGAAAACATCACACAATCTAGAAAGAAAAAAGAACAACACATTTCTGCATAAATTTTCCAGCTCAGAAGAATGGCAAATACCTTTGGTCCCTAAATG